ATATTTGCGTTTTGCGAGGGAACGCAAATATCTTTGCGAGAGAACGCAAAAGTTTTGCGAGGGAACGCAAAGTTTCGAGAGGGAACGCAAAAGTTTTGCGAGAGAACGCAAAAAATCTGACAAATATTTTTTCCTCCCACCCCAAATTTTTTCACTCAGTCTGATTTTTTTCCACCACCATGTCCCTTTAGGGGCTCCGTACATTAACTTCTAAAGAGGCTAAAATCTTCCCTATCATTGGTTCATCATCTCGTACAGTGGCATGATTCTCGTGCTCTGATTGGTTGGCTTGCACGTCAATCACTCTCACGAGAGATAAGAAAAGTATCTACTGCTCTACTTGTAATGTATCCACTTCCATCGCTGTTACAGCATGACAACCATCCTCAAGAAGCCAAACAAAGGCGGTAAGGTTTTATTATAATACACCTAACGTGTGATGCATATATTTCGATGTCAAATAAATCTTTGTAAAGTTGATTTCATCGTTAAACTAAGCTGTCATAGATTGTCACTAATAATCTTATAAACTACAGTGTTCTTTATATAGTTTAATATACAGTATAGTTGCATATGTGTATCGTATATAGTGCCGTTTCATGCAGGCTTTGCAACCTTCAGAATAGAACTGAGAATAATGTCTCAATTCTAATGTCCCAATTGTTCTGTATTTCGAGAATGAATTATTATTGAGAATAAATTCAATTTGAATTGAACTGGAACTGAGGTTGATGAATATAGAACTGTACTTCAAATTTGAAGAAGAATTATTAAAATAATACAATTAAAAGAAGCTGCATTACGTGTAAATTTAATAATATAATAAATATAATTTCATTTTTCAGTATGAATATGGGATATTTCCAGAAAGAGTTAATATTACTGATACATGTAGTTGAATATAATAATCAGTATCTGAAATGTCACCTATAAAAAATGTGAATTTAAATTATAAGCTACATTTCTCTCATCATTTTTCCTAGTAAGCATTATTTTCCCCAAAGTCTTCAAAATTTGAGCCAAATAACATAAACAGTGTGAAACCTTAAACACACACTACAAATATATTTATTTATTTATTTATTTTTGTCCAGTTTTATAATCCTGGAACAGTGTTTTCTTAGTATCATTTATATGTTATTTTTACAATTTAGTTTTCATTTATTTATATTTCAGTTTTAGTTTTTATTTCCAGTTGGTAATTGTAGTGCTTCAACTTATTTCATTTAGCTGACAAAGGCAACATTTCTCATTTTCATTAAGTTTCATCTAATATTTATATTTTATTTTATTATAGTTTTATTTAAATTAACAAAAATATTTGTATAGTTTTAGTTAACAATAACCTGGAACATTTTTTCCTAAAATCTATCTATATGATATAGTTTAGCTTAAGTGCCCTGGCTAGTATTGATTACATTGGGTCAGTCTTACTTGTAGACTTCATGAGGCTTTAAGTTATTTAAAGGCTGTACGACATGCAATCTTCTCACTCGCAGCCTGTGTTATGCCAACAGTGGAGCATGCTAAAAACTAGAGCCGTCCTGTGAGCCAAAGGTCACCATGGAGACAGACGAAGCAGCTGCGCAGCCTAATGACGACAGGGCGGAGACCTGCACCGTATCCGTCAAAGGTCTGACAGAGAACTGGCAGAAATGGTCCAATGACCACTGCGAGTATCAGAAACACAATCCCTTCAGCAATGGCAAGGTGATTCCCCCGCAGATCCAGCGAGGACAGGAGGGCTACGGCAGGCCCTTAGAGGGCTCCAAAACAGAGCAGAGAGGAAAAGACGCCCACTCTCACATCAGCAGAGAGGTCACAGAGCTCTGCCAGGTCATTAGGGAGATCGGGGCGAGCAGGGATGACGGCAGGGTGTCTGTGCGGTTCGGGACGCTGTTTGAGAGATACGTCACTATCTCTAATAAACTAGTGGGAGTTCTGCTGCGAGCACGCAAGCAAGGGCTGGTGCACTTTGAAGGAGAGATGCTGTGGCAGGGGAGAGATGATGGAGTGCTCATCACCTTGTTACAGTGATTTACAGCAGTGCTGGACACCATGTGCCTGCCTGTCCAACATTTCTTTATAGACATCCGTTTTACTTGAACATGGGTTAAGGAGTCAGTTGTCGGCCAAAGAAACTTATGCTAATGAGATTTAAACTGAGTGTATTGAATTTAAATGTAGCAAACTGGTATATTCTGTTATTGTTTTAAGTACCACTAAACAGAATTGGAAAAATAATGATTTCAAACAGGATTCAAAACAGTCTTGTCCGTCATTGGTCAACTAGATAGGTAGCCCTGCCCCCTCTCATACCATTTGTTAAGTCAATGTTGCTGTTAGGGGCTACTAAAAAACAGAGCAACAACACTTACACTTTTCACGTGTTCCTGCTTAAAAATATCTTATACCAGTCTGAAAATGTTTTGCTGGTCTTAGTTGGTCTACTAGCCTGGTTAGGCTGGCCTGTTTACTGGTTTTAGAGGTACTTTAAAGAAATAGTTCACCTAAAAATGAAAATTTGCTCAGGCCATCCAAGATATAGATGAGTTTGTTTCTTCACCAGAACACATTTGGAGAAATGTAGCATTACATCACTTGTTCACTGATGAATCCTTTGCAGTGAATGGGTGCCGTCAGAGTGAGCTTTTCACTTCACATTAACTGATGGACTGGAGTCATGTTGATTACTCGTGAATTATTGTGATGTTTTTATCTCTCATTCTGACGGCACCCATTCACTGCAGGGGATACATTAGTGAGCAAGTGACGTAATGCTAATGGCTTATGGCCTGAGGGTGAGTAAACTTTCATTTTTAGGTGAACTATTCCTTTTAGCAGTTTTTTTTTCTGCATAATATCTCTGCACAATGATTTATCCTCAGAAATTACACTCATTTACCTTTAAGTGAACAATAACAGTGCAACATTGTAGTCTTGACAAGCCATATTCTCAAACCATAATCACATTTATATGCCATCACTTTGATGCACAGTGTTAAGGCACACAATGCTTTCCTATTGAAACCTTTCAAAAGTTTTTTTTTTTTTTTTTTTGTAATGGAGTAATTTTCTCATATAATGAATCACTTGCAAGAAAATTACAAGTATTGCCTAGAAAATACATTTCAACTTTTCTGTATTGAATTGCTTTGAATTTATTCTAAATATAAATAATATAAAAATATATTTACAGTGATGATAGTTTAAGCACAAAAACTATTAAAAAGCAGATAACACATATGCAGGCTGGCCTGTTTACTGGTTTTAGAGGTACTTTAAAGAAATAGTTCACCTAAAAATGAAAATTTGCTCAGGCCATCCAAGATATAGATGAGTTTGTTTCTTCACCAGAACACATTTGGAGAAATGTAGCATTACATCACTTGTTCACTGATGAATCCTTTGCAGTGAATGGGTGCCGTCAGAGTGAGCTTTTCACTTCACATTAATTGATGGACTGGAGTCATGTTGATTACTCGTGAATTATTGTGATGTTTTTATCTCTCATTCTGACGGCACCCATTCACTGCAGGGGATACATTAGTGAGCAAGTGACGTAATGCTAATGGCTTATGGCCTGAGGGTGAGTAAACTTTCATTTTTAGGTGAACTATTCCTTTTAGCAGTTTTTTTTTCTGCATAATATCTCTGCACAATGATTTATCCTCAGAAATTACACTCATTTACCTTTAAGTGAACAATAACAGTGCAACATTGTAGTCTTGACAAGCCATATTCTCAAACCATAATCACATTTATATGCCATCACTTTGATGCACAGTGTTAAGGCACACAATGCTTTCCTATTGAAACCTTTCAAAAGTTTTTTTTTTTTTTTTTTGTAATGGAGTAATTTTCTCATATAATGAATCACTTGCAAGAAAATTACAAGTATTGCCTAGAAAATACATTTAAACTTTTCTGTATTGAATTGCTTTGAATTTATTCTAAATATAAATAATATAAAAATATATTTACAGTGATGATAGTTTTGAAGCACAAAAACTATTAAAAAGCAGATAACACATATGCAGGATATTATTTATTTTGTTTTCATGCTTATACATATCATACAACCTTACACCACTCAATAATTAAATACATCTGAGGCAATATAGTACAATCTCTGTCATGGCATAAACAAGAGTTAAAACTTCATTTAGTGTCATATGAAGGAAGAAAAACATAACTGCTCTTGCATCAGTGATGCAGTACAGAATAACAAAAACACTGCCATGAATTCTGATGCCAAAATCATTCAGCTAGTGTGAGGTTAAAGGTCAAAGCTAATTATTGAGATTAATTACCATTTTTAGCTCATTCATATTTAAAACTCTTCGTCACAGCTCTGTATCCTTAAAAATCATATTACTTTAGTAAAACTGGAGGAATCCCAATTGTTCTCTGTAAAAGATTAATGATTCTGTCAAATTTATCAATGTCATTACTATTCGGCATGCTTCCCCCCCCCCAAAGCAATTGAAAAGTAGCTGCAGTTTTGTAGCTTCAAATTTGATTAGCCCGTCTGGCTGACGATATAACTAACAGAAAACACAGCATTATGAGTTATTACAACCCTGAGGCACATGTCCGTGACCTTTTGTCATCACAAACATATTGACTAGGACATCTTCAACATTAATGTATTTTGAGTTCCTCGAACTTCCTGTACATTTAGCTCATAGAGTTCAGCCTTTGGAGTAACTGGTCGGCCTGCAAAATAAAGACATACAAGAGTTAGCTATACATTTGCACACTCCAAAGCAAGGGCAAATCAAAAATCCTACAATTTAAAACAAAGAAAACATTTATAGTAGTAGAATTGGTAAGACTAAAACATTTCTCCACACAGATCCATTTGAGCAGTCAAAAACAAAAAAGGTTTTCATTCCCCCTGCCACTGTAGCTTGTCCATTTTTATTTAATACAATTAGCTTGTTCCAATTACATGACAAAAGGTCTCATTCAACAGACGTAATAACTGGCAACGTCTTGCTACGCTCAGAAAACATTTTGTTTGTTAATGCATCAATAACCCGCTCCAAGGGAATATGATTTTTAGTTTTAGTGGATGTAATTTAGTTGTAAACTAAATGGTAGTGAACAGTGGATTGTATTGTTGGTTTACTCATTTGATTGCTTACCGTTACGAACCAATACGAGTTTAGCCTGTAGATCAAGCGGGACATGAAGCCCATCTGACTGACGGGTGCGAGAACATGGAGATGCAGATGTGTGACAGAACAGAATGGAGGCCAATGGAACCCAAACCTTGGAAATATAATTGGCATGTGATGCATCAGAACATAACTCACAATGTTCTGCATGCTTCATAAACAAGGACTTGATTTTCGTGTAAGTGGCAGATGTTTTTCATTACCTAACATCATTTAAATCAGTCACATCGTTCTTCTGAAGTATCTCTTTCCCCGTCTCCACCAACTGCTCCACTAAAAACCACAAAAATAGAGTTTGCACAGATGACTCCTTAGTAAAGCATGCTATGCGTAACTAAGCTGGGAAGTCTGACTACTTGTACACATTAAATCGGACTCATTATTTTCAGATTGTTACTGTAGAAAGGCTCCAGAGTAGCTACTGTCAGAAATGTCTAAACATTTACACCAGTCTTGAATAACTCCCAGCGTGTTTACCTAATGGTACATGCTCTTTGCCGAGAGATTTACAATTGCCCACATGTTTACTTGGTACGACCAGATAGTGATGAGGAGCTCCAGCGTGGATATCTCTGAAACAGGACACAGTTTCATCCTGAAAAACAAGAGTTTTAAAGGGTTATACATAATAATAAAACTAATAACTATTACAATAATTATTCTAATTAATTTGTGTTACATCTGTGCTTTTACATTCTGCTTCATTTATACATTTTAATTTTTGTTTTCCTTTTTGCGTAATTACTTTGACAGGACTATTTACAACTTTTGATGTTTTTAACGGTGTTTAAATACATTGTAAATTGTGCAATAAATGACTTAAACATGAAGAGTTAATGTTCCTATTGTGAAGCATAATTTAAATTAATTTACAAAATAAAAATTATAATATTTTTCAAAATACATAACTTTCTTTCTTTCTTTATGACGACGATGGCCGAGCAATCATCGCATTACCTTTTTATTAAAACAAAATTACAGTAACCTTGACGACATTTTGCAAGGAGAAAAGGAAATACTCTGATATATGTTAGGACACGTCGGTCTATTACTTCTATAGGTAAATATTGATTTTAGGAAACATGTATTGTCATGTGTATTGTGATCTTTAGCCTCTTTCGCGCCTCTGCAATAGTTATGATATCTTAAATAAAGCAGTGACAGTACACTCACGTTATGCAGGAGCTCAGTTCCCATTTCTCCCTTCAAGATTTTACAGAAAATGCATTTTTTATCATATCCATCATCAGTCTGGTTCGTTGTACCGATCTCAGGTGTCGGTGTGTTTACGGCGGCTGCCATCTTCAAAACGTGAAGTCGGCGCTAATTACATCATCACCGACACGAGCGTCACGTCGTTTCAACATACAAGTCCTCTGAGTCAGGGGGTTTTAAAGCCAAGAAATCCCAAATATCATATGATGATCCCTTTGTGAGAGAACCCGAGTTAAAATATATGCTTGTACATATTTTAATGTCCAAAGCTCCAAAATTATGCATGATATTATTAAGACAAGTTGTTCTCGAGAATAAATGATTGCACTTTGTACTAAATCCTAATCAATTTATTAATATATTAAATAAAAACAAGTTTTTATTATTATATTAGTTTCTTTTTTGTATTTTTTTATATTTTAATCCAATATTATACACAAAATATAATTATATTAGATTATATTATTATAAAATATAATATAATTATATTAGAAATATAGTTTAAAAGCAGTTTTATAACCAGTGAGCAAGGTAAAATGACAGTGGCAGAGCATCTTAAAAATACAATACAAACTATTCTTGAATGTATGCTACAAGAAATGAAAGACGTATAAAAAAAATGTATATTGTTTTTTATAAAAAAAAAATAAATAAAAAAATTTTTTTTTAATAAAAACTGCAGGCATGTGTTAAAGCATATATTGTCATCTTGTTGTAACATTTTCCATGATATAATGTTGAATATACCATATATTTGATGTGCTATATTTCCTGTTACTTCATTTAGGCCTATAGAAGTCCAGATTTTTAATCAAATTTATTCAGATGATGAAATTCTGAAGAAAAATCTAGTCACACTTCAAATATAATTTCGTGCTCATATGATGCATGCTCAAAATCTGATTATAGGAAACATTTCCCATTCAACTGTGTGAAATATCACACATTTCTAAGCTCATAGCAATTTAGGATATTTCTTCATATGATATTGCCAGAACCTAGAGATATTTCTTTGGTTTCACCATTATTTATTTTAAATGGTTAAAAAACAACAATAATAATCCTATGATCTTTCTTGTTCTTGTATTTAGTATAAACACAACACTAAAACCTAAAATATTGGTCCCACCAAAAAGAAGAAAAAATTAATAAGTCAATTTGATTTCTGTAGTAACTAACAGTGCAGTTTTAATGATAATTAAAATATGAATTATGGTTTATTAACAACCTGGTAACTATTTCATCCCTACTTGTAACCCTCAAAGTAGAATGAGCTTAAGCAACCCCTTGTACATTTTTTGTGACCCCTATAGTGTGGGTCACGACCCCTGGGTTGGGAACCACTGCTTTAAATTATATATCTTCAAGCCCCTTTTGAATTTGATTAGTTGAGCATCTCCAACAGCAGTGAATAAGACACAGCTGTGTTATTCTTTATTTACCGCCTATGTCTAAGGAATACTATTGTATTGTGTGCAAGCAGCCAGCGCAGCAGAATTTGAGCAAAATCTCCTTGCAGAATCACTCAGCCGGAGCTCCCGACCGGTTAAAGGTTACTAATCAAGAGAGGCAGAAAGGATAAGTGAGTGACAACACACTATGCTAAACTGCTCTGTTTAGCGGGTCAACCGAGCAATTAATCCCGAGCACTCCAATATGTCAGGATGCCACATTTACCGCCTTAATGTATGCAAATGATGCCATTAAAATGCATGTTCATGTTTAGTCTCAAAATTAAGAGCTCATTTGCACTCCCAACAATCCAGAGATTCATTATTACAAATTACAAAAATAATAATGACTCAAGACATCAAATTTACTCTCCTTGTACACCCTCTCCTATTTATATTATGAATGTGAAAATAATTTATGTGACAATCAGCAATTTGCAGCCACTGTATTGGAGGTTGTCAGCTGGCCAAAGCTATTATGTTATCTCTTGTTCTGCGGCTCCATATGATAAATAATGTGCCAGAACATGACTGTATGCAATTACAGTCTGCTGTGGTATTGTAAGAATGCAAAGGATTGTAAAAGAGAGAGAGAGAGAGAGAGGACTAGCGAATGTGGGACATAGAAGATGATCGTGATGTGAATGGAAAATACAAACGCCTTAGAAATAACTGGGAAAATACGAAGTTAAGCACTGGCAACAAACAATGGATCTCATGCGTCTCTAAATGATTCATGACCAAAATATCAACTCCAGCATTGAGGAAGTCAATGTTTTGTCCTGAAGAAGTTGTAGAATTATTCATGAGGCATCGGCTTTGTAAATAGATCCTGTTGATTAAAATGGAGGAAGTTGGGGGGTGGAGAGGGAGAGAGTGAGAGAGAGCGCTACATGAAGGGAAAATATTCAGCTTCTTTAATCATGTTCTGCCCTACTTCCAACTTCCTCTTTCATTCCATACATCCCGCTGAGACGACTGCCATTGCCACTGGTCACCGTCACACTTGGCTTTATGAGTCTGAAATTAGCCTGTGTATTTTTATGAAATTAAATGGCTATGCCTTTGCAGACAACATGGTTGAGAGGTTAAGAGGCATTTTTAAGAAAAATGCAATCCGCTTTTTTGACTTTTCAGCTCGTTTCTGCTGATATTTAAAGTCACTGTGAATTGATGTTTGCAAACTTTTACTTCTGCAAACAGGAGTGAAACAAGATGTTAAACAAGATATAAAGTAAATGTGAGTTTGCTAAAACAAACCCTATAGCTAACTTTATGTTTATTATATTGTATGTGATGTGTGCGCATGCATGGTTTAAAAGTTTGGGGTCAGTAAGATTTTTTTTTTTTTTTTTTAAAAAATTAATGGATTAAAGGATGGATTAAGTTAATTAAAAATAAAGACATTTATAAAGTTACAAAATGTTACTAAAGGCCGCTAAAGTTCATTTTAGAATAGAAAATTTTAATTTTAATAAGTAATTGTAATAATATTTCATTACTGCTACTGATTAAATGAATGCATTGGTGAGCATATTATATTCTCAACTCCACTACAAAAGTAAACAGGGTCATATTTTATTTCAAGCTGACTTTCAGCTCTAATTGGTACTGTAATTCCAAAAAAAAAAAAAAACTCTTAAAACTCGACTCAAAAGATTTTTTGGAAGCCTATTTTTTTTATTCCCCTTTATTCTTGTGGTGCCATCAGCTAATTAGTGTTGTCAGGATGTCATTTTCCTGTGGCTCTATAGTGACTCAGTTGGCATTTATGGCTAAAGTTATTAACGGAAAACAATTTTTATGCAGAACTGAAAGCCCATGAACAAAGATGGCAGAATCACGTATTTCCAGGTGATCATGCACCAGCTGAGCAACTGCTAACGTGACACTTTCTCCAGGTATTATTCTGATAGCTCCACAGTGTTTTTAATTGAATTACCAAAATAACAAATAGCTTATTTACTGTAGTCTCTGCACATTAACCTGACACGTGAAAAAAAAATGACCTAAAGGTTGAGTTAGGTCAGTATTTCCACATACTACCAGCAGGAGGCAGTGTTATGACATCCTTCAGCACAACCTTTGAAGTGTGAACAGTGTTTTACTCTCAGCTGTTTCATCATGTTCCTTCTTTTCAAACATCTGCACTTCTAATTCTCTTCGTCAAGTATGCGTGTCAGATAAACCATGGTAGATGTACTGTAGACTCACAGCTGAGGTCACAAAATACTTTTAAGCAGCAACAGCAGCGCATCGTGGAAGTATATATTAATGCATAAACTGTATTTACATATCTCATATATTAATGCACTGTTGATGGTAAATTCTTGCAAGTGGTCTCATCAGTGTCTACTTTAATCCAGACGTATCATGGAAATGTTAGCGTAAAGAGAGCAGGTACCGTGAAACTCTGTTTACTCAGCTGTCTGTCACTCTAGACATTCTCTCCTTCATTATTGTACCTTTCTGCACAGTCCATTTACTGTGGGTTTGCAATGCACCTGGTGTTCATTTCCCTCTCCTCTTTCCTTCAGATTCAGTGTTTTCCCCTGAATTAGGGGGTGTTCACATTTGGTAGTATTGGTTCAATTTAGGGCTAGTCCCCCCAATAATTAGAAATTGCTAAACCCTTTTCTCAAATATTGCCATTTCGAGAGAGAGAGAGAGATGAAAATTACGTGTATGCGCGTCTCTCTTTTTAGAGTGAGTTCACTTAAAAAACAGCAATTTTATCCTCTCGTTGCTGGAAAATATAATGTAGCGATTCAGTATTTAAACTGTTATTAATAAAAGTCGTGGGGCAGCGTTGACAAGTTTCTTTTCTCCTGGATGTGTGAGCTGCGCGTTCAAACGAAGGGGTATGAATTATCTCAGCGTAAACCGGCTTCAGCGGCAACATGGCTGAACAAAAAGACACATACATGTCAGCATTTTTGGCATTAATAAAGATTTTAACAAAAAGTAATCATTTGTTTTATGTTACATTCAATCGTGAGTTCATATTTACAGTCGTGTTACTCAAAGAAATGTTTGCAAAAAATCGCTGCTAACTAACGTCATATCATTATAGACTGCAGGATAGTGCCACAACATATTTTCATGTCTGATCAGGGCGATAACCACCATGGACATTGAGGGAGGCTAGTCCCCCCAATAATTAGAAATCGCTAAACCCTTTTCTCAAATATTGCCAATTCGAGAGAGAGAGAGAGAGAGAGAGAGAGACGAGAGTTGCGTCTG